TCTAAACTAATCAAAAGACACAAACATACACATGGAAATTACATGAATGTCAACGTGGCACACAAGTGGCGGTCCACGTGTGTTCCATGTCATCAGCAAATGGCTGACCGGACTTCCAAATGTGTGCCACGTCAGCAAAGTCAGTGTTGATTGGGCTGCCACATGTGTGCCACGTCAGCAGGTGACCTGTTGACATGGCAAGTAACCTGCAAATGGACTCTATTGAAGGTTTTTACAAAGTTCGAGGATTTGATTGATTTTTTTAAAAGTACGAGGATCTAATTGACTTTTAAGGGATAATACGAGAACTAATTTGAAAGTTTTCCCTTTTATGTCTAGTCATAAAATAGGTGATCGCATTGGATCTGGTTGTCTCATTGATGGTTTGTGTGTTTCGTCGTATTAATACAAGTCTTTTCCGTTCAAAATAAATATTGACTTCGGAGAAAATATGATGTTTTTAATTGTACTATTTTCACTCCTATACCAGACCCGACCCGACTTCCATAGTTATAAAATATACAGACATTTATCGGACCAGACCAGACCAGTTTAGAGTTAGACCAGACCAAACCAGACCAATCCAACAAATTCTAGTCCAACTAAAAACATTCTTAAAGCAAAAAAATGAATTGATTGACGGACTACATATTTACTTGATCTCCATTTCTGCAAAATCGGTAATTCAGTTTGTTTAGGGTCATTAGATTTGAAATAAATAAAAGTTAATTAATTAAGATCTCATTAATTAATTACGTTTCTCCCTTTTAAAAATACCTGTCTTGCCAATCCTTCCTAGTTAAGAATATCAATCATAGGTGCGTTAGTTTGATCTTTGGGACTAAACTAAATCAGTATCTAACCTTTTCATGAACTCCAGCTATTCTGATCTCTTTTGTTTCATGCAAGAAACAACAAATGTGTTTGAGAAGAACTGATGAATCAAGCTATAAACGGACATTTATGTTTCAACCCACATAGTTGGTGTATGTGGGCAGTGGTCGATCTTGCCAGCAAATGCTAGGTGTTCAAAATTGGAAAAATCTGTTTGTACCCACTATTGTACCCATTTTTGTACCCACCATGTCTGTGAGGAGTTTCTTTTTGTCTGTGAATCCCGGTCATAGACAAAAATATGTCTATGAAGACATGATGGGTACAAAAGTGAGTACAATAGTGGGTACAACAAGAAGAATCCTTCAAAATTACTTTACAATATCCTAATTGTAAAGTAGTACGGAGTATTGTTTAATATAACTTTTTCAACAACAAAATCTAATAAAAATGGTTAAACGTAAAAATTGACAGAGTACATACTTCCTCTGTTCTTTTTTAGTTGCAACGGTCAACATTTCACACTTGCCAACGCACGTCTTTGACCGTAATTATATCTTAATCTCTATTAGTAAAAAATATTTAAAAAATAGATTTTGAAAATTTGTAATGAGATGAATTGAACAATATATTTTTTTTACAATAATTTTCATAAAATAATAATATAAAATGTAGTCAAAGTAAAACATGTGAATAGTGTAAAATTCAACACGTTGCGATTAAAAAGAGACGGAGGATAGTATATAAGAGAGACAATATACCCCAAATAAATTACTGAAAATATGGCAGGCGTATTACTACCAGTCTTTTCACTTCCAAATCTTTTCACTTCCAAAAATATTACCCCACTTTGACTTTTTCCAAAAAAGTGACCGGTTGAGCAATTCTCCTTCGCACCTCTCCTTCGGCATAACATTTCCCAGCGCCACACCTTCCCTCTTTCTCTGCACCTTTCCAGGACCTGAAGGTTCTTTTCATCACTGCTCTGCCTCACCATCCCAAGTCGCTGTTGCGCCGCTGTTGCGACTAACCGTACATGCCTTTGTTCCGCCTCGCTGTCCGGATCTACGTCTCTGACCTTTCCATCCGGATCTCCGCCTCACCGTCCGAGTTGCGGTTCAACCACAGCCGTCACACTCGTAATGGAGCAGATCGGCGTAGCGTGCGACTATTCTAGCCGTATTTTTCAGTCTGTTGATTTTTCCAGACCGTAGCTTGAGGATGGCCACCAGCCACACGAGATCATCCCACTTTGCAATGCAGGGTTTAAATGTGATGTTGGTCACATTTTTGGAATTTTTAAAAAGAGATCACTTTTTTTGTCTTTTGTCTTTTTTAGAAATATCTAAGCCAAAAGGCCTAAATTATTATATCTATTCTATAAATGATTTTTTTTTGCACTTTACTTTCAAATTTTGGATGCTCACTCACATGAATATCCTTGAACAAATAGCATAGGCCATTGTATGTTGGGCGAGATGTTGGGCTAGGGGAGTGCAATGCATTGGGTCAAACTGGATCGGACCAAACCAGAACTTATATCGAATTTACTTGAAAGTATAAACCTAAACCGGACCTGTATACCGGTTATTATTCAGAACATGACCAGCAAAACCGGTTGAAAATGAATTCTGGACCAAAAAAACAGTTTTAGAAAAAGTATGCACCTGATTCAATGTCTGGCAAAACAAAATTACGTTCCATGAATACTTATAGGCAAGAAGCAGTGATAATAAATAATGTGTCATGTAAAAATTTAGGGAGGAGTAATCATTTAAAATAAAACTCTCATCTCATACGAACACAGTATATCTAAGCTTGCCTACGAAAAAAAAGAATGGATAAGAACACTGTTTTTTAAAGAAACAAACAAAAAAGAGACAAACAAGAGTAGTACCCAATCCAAAGTAATGTGCCATTTGATTCTTCTTTTTGAGTTTTCAATTTCTATGCGGGTAAATAGTTTTCTCTGTCTCATATGACCAAAAAAGCTTTTTTTTTCTTTCAAATAACCTCATTAGTATCAGAATCCTAAAGATCATCCACCATTGAAATATGAACTCTCTTCTCACTTTTGGTCCTTAATTATTATTATAGTGATTTTTTAGTTAGTAGAATATAATGGAATTGGAAGGCCTTAAATGTGTTATTTTGATCAGAATCGAAGGACTTGATAGTTAAATGTCAAACGTGGGTACCAAAAATGTATTTGTCACAATAGTGAAAGAATTAAAAGTGATTAAAGGGGTGTTTGAAACTGATTATGCTTCTGCTTCTTTTTTAAAGTAGAAGCATAATCAATTTTCAGATGCCGGTCTCCCTCAGGTTCTAAAAAAACTAATTCTAGGAGTAAATTAAAACACCAGAATCACTTCTATACTTTTACCCAAACATTCCAGCTTTTGCTTCCGCTTCTTGAGGGAGCAGAAGCAGTTTTAAGAATCAGATCCAAATTAAACACTGCCAAAGACAAGTACTAAGAGTAGTGTCACTGACATAATTGAAGTGAAACTAAAAGTGACAAAACTCTTCATACTATGTAAATATGATGATAAACAATCATTGTTTTCTCAAATTAGGTCATCAATAAAATAAGTGTCTATGTAATGAAACCCGGCCCATTAATTACGATAAAACCTCGTTAATTCTTTACATGAAAACCTAAGGTCTATCGATGCATTCAAAATATTGGATTTGTAGTTTGATAGCTCTAAAATTGTTTGAGTTTGTTAAATTAGCTGAATTTTCTTATTTTTTTGACTGAAATGATTGAATTGACTGAATTTTGAAAAATTATACGGTAGCATTTAAAATGCTACTGCGTATTTATTAATTAAGAATGAAAAAAATATGAAAAAGAGGCGAAGTGGTTTTTCTTCGTCAAAATCAGTGAATTGAGGTTGAAAAATACTCCGTATGTAGGATGTTTTCTTTTAGACTTTTTTCAGTCCCAGACCAAACCAGATCAGATCCGATCAGATCAGACCAGACTTCCGTAATTATAAAATACATAAAGATCAGACATTTACTAGACCAGACTCGTTCAAACCAGACCATACCAGTAAATTTCAGTCTAAGAAAACATCCGTAGTATATCGAAACTTACTTAGGGAGTATATAATTCATCACATAAAATAAAAAGTTCAAAGTTTCAACATAATTACTCCATCTCTAATAAGGTTGATAAATTAACTAAAAATAGATGAAGTATTTTCTATTTAGTGGAGCATCACATCAAGCTCCTATCTCGACCTTTATTCCTTTCTTGTGTAACCACTTCAACCCGTAAGTACACAACACAATGATACTAATGAACCGTATTGAATGATCAAATAGGGAACAATTCTTGTAAGAACACACTCCCTTGAGAGAAATTAGAATGAATTTGGGCCATTGGATCGTGTATTATGTGGAATTGAATTATGTATTTGATGAAACTGAAATATGCATTAGATGAATTGAAATGTGCAAAACAAAATTTTAAACTCAAGTATGCATTAGGTGAAAATGAAATATGCGGAATAAAAGGTACAAAAATGACATTACATCGTACATTTCAGTTTCACCTGGTGCACATTTCAATTTCACCTAATGCACAATTCAGTTTCACGTAATGCCACTGTATCGTACCCTTTGTGATGCACATTTCAATTTCACCTAATAATCCACATTACAGTTTCATCTAATGCACATAAAATTTCACTTAAAGCAAATCTAACGATCCAGGTTCATTCTCATTTCTCTCCTAAGATCATGTTCTTATTTGAACCAAACTCTCATCAAATATCACTAATAATTAGGATGTTTTCTTTTGGACTGAAATTTGCTGGTCTGGTAAACGTCTGGTCTCTGTGTATTTTATAACTACAGAAGTCAATTTAAGTCTGGTTTGGGACTGAAAACTTTCCAAAAGAAAACATCCTCAATCAACTATTCTAATTTGAGTTTTGCTAGAGGTACACAAAATGTGTCCTTCACATTTTGAGTTGCCTGTGACAGACAAAATTTCTGTGAAGGACAAACATGTATACACATTTTGTGTAACTAAACATTTTTCTTCTAATTTCTCTAAAGATGGAACAAATTAAACATCCTCTCCAAGCAACCTTTTCTTCCATCGTATCTTTTCCTTTGTAGTATAAAAACTAACTAAACGCCGCCCCATCACTTCTTGCAATACAATCGGGGAGCTACGTCCGACCATAACATAATGGACAATCTCCAACAAAAGCCTCCGTCCGCCTCCCACCACCCCCAACAGCCGCCGCGTCGCAACGCCCTTAAAAACTTTATCGGGATGCTATTTGCGTTTATGGTTGTCGGTGGCATTATCCTCCTCGTCATCTGGCTTGCCATCCGCCCACACAGGCCGGTTTACTCCGTCGTGAAGGCCACCGTCCACAGCTACAACTTAACCGACAGCGACAACCGCCTCACCGCCGACTTCAGCTTCACCATCAAAGCCTACAACCGCAACAGAAGAACCTCCATAAAATACAAACCCCTACAAGCGCGGCTCTACTTCGGGAATGAGGAGATCGCGGTTGCCACCACCGCGCCGTTCCGGCAGCCGCCCCGGGACGTCACCTACCTGCCGTTATCTCTTCAGGCCAAAAACGTGGCGCTGAACGGCGTGAAGGACTTCAAGAACCAGAGGACCGCCGGGAAGGTTGAGCTGGTCGTCAAGCTGAACGGTCGGGTTCGGTTTAAGACCGGCGCGTGGAAGTGGTACCATCGCCGGATGAAGGTGACGTGCAAACCCACCGTTATGTCGTACTCTTCTGACAATTTCAAGGAGGCCCGGTGCCACGTAGGTTTCTGACGTGGCATGAAAAAAGTATTTCGTGTGCCTTGTGTGAGCTACTATGAACGAGTTTAACTATTACTGTATGTTGTGATTTTTGCATTTGACTTTTTTAATATTTGTGCGAATTGTGTATTTTTGTACATCGTGTATGCAATTGGGAATATTGATGATTTAATTTTGATATCGGGGTGTTTGAAAATGAAGTTTCACTAAAAAAATTGAGGTCGGATACCTTTTAGCGTTTTTGATAAGTTAAAACATTTTTTTTCCGGTAAATAGTGCGTTCGGTCATAGCAAATATGATAATTTTGGGTTAGTCTTTTAAAATATGGCGTTTCTTTCACTAATTGTTATGCCCAAACAGTTAAATTACCACATATCCTCTCCATATGAGTATATTTTATTTGAAAATATATTATTTGGTCCAATGTTTAAAAGTTAAACTCAATCATAATTGTTTCCTTTGTTGTTCTAACAATACTCCAATATTGTTCTAACAAAATCTTGTTAGTATTTGTTAGAACTCTTGGCTTGGTTTTTTCGGACCGGATTCAATAAAGAAAGCCATAAACATTTTCCCTTTTAAGGGAAAATGAAAACTTGTCAGTATTGATCCAATATTGTTCTAACAAAATCTTGTCAGTATTTGTTAGAACTCTTGGCTTGGTTTTTTCGGACCGGATTCAATAAACAAAGCCATAAACATTTTCCCTTTTAAGGGAAAATGGAAACTAATAATCCAACCTTTTAGCGGTCTTCTTTCAATAATCCCGCTTTTTGATTATTCATGAATAATCCAACCTTTGCACCTCATCTTCATTCATTGGTCTCTGGTCGGTTGATGACCTACTATTCCAAGTTATTTTCTTATCTTTGCAAAATATTATCTTTTTGAAAGATGAGATTTATGGTATAATGATTTGCAAAGATAAGAAAATAGTTTGGAATAGCAGGTCATCAACCGGTCAGCTGGGGCCAGTGAATGAAGATGAGGTGCAAAGGTTGGATTATTCATGAATAACCAAAAGGTTGTATTATTATAAGAAGACCGCTAAAAGGTTGGATTATTAGTTTCCATTTTCCCTAATTTTAAAAGGCACCTGAATTTTAAGACTGTTTTTAATAATAGTACTCCAAGTTATCATAAGTAGCTACCATATTATGAAAGGCAAACCACATGATGACCGAGAACTTGGGAGGAATATAAGGCTTCCAAATAAAAGACATCCAATCTCGACTACCTTTGATTGTCAATAAATCATACACCTTTGAAGAGGGGAGCTTACCATTGCAAGAACACTTTCCAATGTGATTCAAAGCCACAGGTATGGAGGGAAATTTGGAGACAATAGAGTCTCTAATTAACACCAACCTTTTCATAAGTTGTGAGTCCCTATTGTGTGGAACGAAAGTCCACACATCCCTCCCATGAAGAAATACTACATGGACCCATATCACCCAATGAGTGTCCTGTTTGGAGTGAATATTCCACAAGGTCCGAGATTGGAGTGCATTATTATCATAAGCTTATAATCTTTAATACTCAAACCACCCTCTTTTAGTAAGCAAAGATCATCCCAAGCTACTTTATCATGTTAACCCCCATACGAATATACAACAAAGAGACACTATTCGGTCCAAAATAGCCCTTGGGTTAGGAAAGATTCCTAGCCAGAAGGATTGAACCCCTTGTATAACTGAACTTATCAACTCAACCTTTAATTTCTCGCATAAGACAAAGATTTAGTATTCCACGCATTGGTAAATCCTGTGACCGTATCTATCAAAGGAGAGAATTGAGACACAAAAATCTTTAAAGGGGTCAATGAAATACCCAAGTACTTTACCGAAAAGGATCTGTTGAAAGTCTACTATTTGAAGAATAAAAGGTAATTCATTTGCCACGCACATTCCCTCCTACAAAGATATAGAAATTAGACTTATCATGGATGACCATTAGTCCAGAAACTAGGGATGTTTTTACTTGGACTGTAATTTGTCCCAGACCAGACCAGACCAGACCAGACCAGTCCAGACCAGATCAGACCAGACCAGACCAGTCCAGACCAGCAAATTACAGTCCAAGTAAAAACATCCTAGGCCAAAATAATGTCAATCATAAACTAAAATCTTTATAGATGTTGACATTCATGCTATTTCCATGTTTATAATTGTGTTTTTGATTAGTTTTGAGTGATTGTTACTCTAGAAATTACACACTTTTGGTGTAATAGTTTAGTTTGTAAAATGTTTGTAAATTGTTTAGATTAGGTTTGTTCTGAGCTCAAACAGGTCCAAGACCACTCTAGAGACCATTGGTGAACATCACAAGTGGAAGGAAGGTGCAAAAATTCCAAAACAAAATGAAGATCCTGATTTTTGGTGTTGTACCCGGTCGAGTATACCCTATACTCGATCGGGTAAGTTGCTGAAAAATCAAATCGGATAAATCCGCGAACAAGGCAACATGCAGAGAAGATTTTAACCACGATCGAGTGTCTATACCCGATCGGGTAGCCGACATACCCGATCGGGTATGCCCATGTTTTTCCAGCTTCCGCGAAGCAACTGAAGGCCCGATCGAGTACCCAATATACCCGATCGGGTACATGACCCTGCAAGCCCAAAAAGCCTATAAATACACCCCATTTCCTCCACAATAAATCACCAATTCCTATATACTTCTAAGCTCAGTTTAGATAAGTTCTTTCTTTATATTTTTATCATGTTTAGTCTCCAAATGAGGAGCTAAACTCTTCCATCTTGGTTTTGCTACTTTGAAGCTTAATGATTTGTAAGTTGTGAGTTATTTTCTCTAATCTTCTTCCTTGAATATTAATTACTTCCTATTCTTATTCTATATTAATATATTGAGCATTACTTAAAGTATCAACTAGTCTTGTTCTATATATTAATTATTACTAGAATCGGTCGGTTAATACGCTTGTTATTAATTCGGTCCTTTCACGGTAGTAAACTTGGGTTGTTAATGCATGCTTCTCATGGTTAATAAGCCAAGGGGAATTAATTATATTGATTAAACCAATAAACCGCTTGTGTTGAGGTTATCAATCTTAATCGTTTTCATCTTGATTTTATTGCTACTATCAAGTTAATATACGGCGCTTGTTCTATATTGACTCGGTAGTAAGTTTTACTAATGAACGCTTCTCGTTATTAATAACTACCCTCGATGAACTGGATATACTCCTCGATTGAGTATTCGAGAGGAAGATAGTTAAAGATATAACTGGGATCGACGAACATTTTATTAAGTGGATAAAAGCAAAGCCAAGTATTCTTCTCATTAATTAAACTCATTTAAGTCATTCATCTTAGTGTTAATTAAATCAAATCAAATCTAAAACCCCCCTTTGTTACTAGTTAATTAAAAAGAGAAGTATTCCTTTCCCTGCGGATACGAACCTTACGTCACTATACTACGTATTAGTGTTGTATTGTATTTATTTTGAGTGCACCTCACGACAAGTGCACGTCAGATGTACAATCTTTTCTTGAAAATAACTTCAAATCCGCATATGCTAGCTAGATGTGAGATCTTTAGTAAGGAGCACGAAGGATGATATTAACAGATATCATTTGAGGACTGAGGTCCTTTTGTCCAAACAAAAAGTAAAGAAGACACAGGATCCCCTTGCCTTAACCCCCTTTTCCCTTCAAACCAACCATGTAAGACCCCATTTATGGATATAGAAGAAGGGGATGTGGTGACCCCACTTCAATATGTGATGGTAATCTTCTTGGCCACATTGATCTTCTGCCTTCCTCTATCGTACAAACATTTGTTAAACTAAGTGATGGTAATCTTCCAAATGTCCATATTTACAATGCAAAAACAAAACCTGTAAAGGTGAACCTATCTTGTATTGCCTTTTTAATATTTTGTGTCCATTTAGGCACTTTTTCCAATAAATCTCTCCATATTTCATCTCCCTAAGGATACTAGTTCACTAAATCCAGATCATCTACCATGTTGATGTACATTGCTGGTTCGCAATGATAAAATTTGTAATCAAATTAAGGACTGCCAGCTTAACCCTTTTTATGGGCTCCTTTTGCACAAGTATATTATCAAACTCCTCAAAAGCTCTTGTTATATCAGCTCTTGAAACAGTACTCCTTCCTTTAAAAAATCTTTTCCATATATATCTCACCTATATTGTCTTCTTCGGATACTATTGGTTTCTCTCCTCCCATCTTAAATCCTGTTATTAATGCCAAATGATTCTTTCAAAAACTCACTAGCCCCTATTTCCTTTATGGAAATTAATCTTGTTGTCCAAATATTCTTGTTAAGCTTCTTCACATGGTTTTCTACTCTTAATACCAAAAACAGTCCATTCATCGATTCTAGATTATCCATGTCCAACAATCCACCAAAAGTTGTATTTCTAAATCCGCCAACTTGCTCTTCATTTAACTGCTTCCACTACAAGAAAAAGCATTTTTTGCGTCGACAAAAAGTTGACACAAAAAGTCAAAAGTCGACGCAAATACATCATTTGCGTCGACATGTGGACGCTAATGTGTCAGCGGAAATGCTTCAACGCAAAAGTTTATTTGCGTCAACTTCGGGGCGATGCAAATAAGATTTATCTTTTGCGTCCACTTTGTCAACGCAAAAGGATTAACGGTGGGAAAAAAATAAAACACTATTTCAGTCGACATGTCGACGCAAAAGGTCTTATTTTTTTTTTAAATTATTATTATTATTATTATTTTCAAACAAGCACTAATTTTAAGCATAATAATTTTTTAAGGATTGGAAATTATAAATCACCACCATTACAAAATATATCTAGAAAAATAAAGTATTTAATACAAAAGTTGAGTTATGTATATATTAATTCATAAAACATCATGAGATCCTAAAATATGCACATTGCAAGTAGACCAGAGTATTCTTATGAGAGTATGACAACCTGCTTTCAAGTAGACCATTTATTATCTTTTAAATATTTTTGCAAAATCAAACTAAGTAATACCAGAGTAATACATTATTTTTCCTGAAACTCAAATAAAATATTCCCCTAGAAGAAAAAAGAATGGGATTAGAAAGATTCTTAATTAGACCAATAGATACATATCAAATTGACAGTCACAGATTCAATTAAATACTCCGTATAAACATACACTGGGACACTGGGTCCTGAGTTGCGCTGCATCAATGTTCAACATAAACCTCTAAATTCAATACTCAATTCAGTTAAATCATAA